CTCCCTCATCCTCTTCCCCCCCAACTTAAACTATTACAAAAGGTTTCATTGTTCTACTTCATATATGTATATGAACCATATACATGGTTCATATCATGTATATGAATATCAACCATATTCACCTTCCTTTATCCCCTTCATTCACACTCCCCCAACCACCCACCCCCTCAGAGGACCTATTTTACAGTAGTCTTGTCCTTCATTTTTAATTCCAAAGTCCGTGCTCAAAGGGGTTTCTCAATGCTTCTCAGCTGTGAATATGCTGTACTTTGGTCAAGTTAACCCCCTTTATTACTCTCCCTTACACTTTTCCTCCTACCCTGAATGTACATCTTATTCATTGTCGTGCCCCAGCACCCAGTGTGGAGGCTTGTCTTGGAAGGTGTCAAATATTTTATGAGTGACCACACAAATAAAAATTTCACATGTCCTGCTGGCCAAGCATACTACAGGAATATATTATTGTTTTAGGAAAGAAATACTATGGTGATACTCCACACGTGTTGGGGTGCTGCATAAATGTAATGCTTTTTTTTGGAGACAGGGTCTTGCTATGTCGTTCAGGCTCGGGTCTGACTCCTGCTGAGTCACTGGAATTATAGATGTGTGCTACCATGCCTGGCCTGTAAACACTATTTATTTTAGATTTTATATTAGTTCTTAGTTTTTATCAAAGAGTAGAATGCTGAGCTCTTAGATTTATCTCAAGATATTTTTATGATTCCAATTATGGACACATCATAATAGTTATTTTGTAAAATAATATACTATTTGAAGGATAATAGCTGGTAAATACAAGGCAGCAGCAACTGCCTTATTTTGATAAATACAACATAGTTTCATTACATAAAGTGCTTTGGTAGAAATGAAAAGTAGATTCTGCTTACTATTATGCAAAAATGTAAAATAAGTAATTAGTAGAAAGATTCTGAATGTCCCCAACACAAAGAAGTGATAAATGTTTAACGTGACAGATCCAATAACCCTGATATGATCGTTACACATTGCATACATATACATTGTAATATCACACTGTACCCTTAAATATGTACAATTTTATGCCAATTAAAAATTTTTTTGGTGACACTATAGAGTTTGAACTCAGGGCTTCACGCTTGATAGGCAGGTGCTCTACCACTTGAGCCACTCCACCAGCCCCTTTTTTTGTTGGACATTTTGAGATAGGGTCTCTTGAACTATTTTGCCCAGGCTGGATTCAAACCTTGATCCTCCTGATCTCTGCCTCCTGAGTAGCTAAGATTATAAGCGTGAGCCACTGGTGCCCAGCTAAAATTAAAAAAATTTTAATGTGAAATAAAAGTACACTAAATAGTACAGATTATTTTAACTTTACTTTTAAACTGAGAATTATATACACACAGAATACGAGAATCATGTAACCATTTTAAATATTCACTTTAGACAAAAACCATTTCCCCCCAAATTTTTATGACTAAAATCTAGATTCTAAGTTGTGTTTTTCTTCATACATGTCAGAACACATCGTCCCCATTGTCAGGCTATGCCCATAAGGGAGATATAAACTTAATTCCCTGTCCCTTGTCCCTACTGTTTATCAAGCCATCACATGGTGACCTACCTATGCTTCAACTGCACTGCTGTCCCTGACACTCTCTCTTCTGCTTACTTACTGGCAGCTCCATCTTCAGTGCGTGACGTTCTGACAAGGGAAGTGGTTTGTATCTTTGGTAAGTCATCACAGGGGCTTCTCTAAAGACTGGGAAATGGATTCACTATTGTTTTTAGGCAAAGGTGAAAACCAGCTGAGCTTGGCCTAGCTGCACTCCATGTTCACAAGTATCCCCAGAGCAACTCATTCTGGGATGCAGAGTACTGGACATTCTGAATGCATCAGCATCTACACTGACCTTGTACAGCCAGATATATCTAAGGGCAAGAAGGGTCTGAGGCACTTTTTAATAAAATTCTCAAAGTCTCATGACTAACAATGTTACAGATTTACTGGAAACCATACAAATGAGTGTTTACTACATCAGTAAATGACATAAGTGTGTGGGACTGATCAGAAGCTTTCCCTTTTCAAAAAAGTAAAATGTAATCTTTTGCAAAGAAAAAACATTACTGTCTCTGAAGACTTCCAGAACAACAGGGTCCAGGTCTTGCCCTAATGTACTGTGGGGGAAGAGAAGGATAGTCTGATACTTGCAGGCTCCCAGTGCACATTTGTCAGCTAAGTAAATGAGTTCTGGCTTGCGTTGGGAGTAGAGGTTTAAAATGTATGTAGAAAGATTTAATTTGATGGATTCACATACAATTTAAAGCATTTATAATTTTTATCTTCCACCTCCCCCCAACACACACTCCCAATCCCATCTAATCGCAGTGCCCAGTCTCTAAAATAGAGTTAGAGTTCTGGAGGTGATGCTGAATGTACCTAAATACAGGTCTGCAAAAGGTTTGCCCCCTTAAACTTTGTGCCTCAGTTTTATTACTTGCTAAATGGGAATGATACTACGTAGGTCCCTTGGGAAGCTGCCGTAACGAGTTAACATGTGGAAACACTTAAAACAGTGCTTGGCAGAGTACGTACCATAGAGGTGCTCACCTTTATTCTGACTCTTGCTTTGCACTTTCAAAAGAGGCTTTCTTCTCCCCACCTCTAATTTTAACCCAACTCAAAAAACCTCCGAGTTATACTTCTTGCTATACTTCTCCTCAACTGATATCCTGCAGGATAAACTTAACCTTCTGTTTGAAAGAAGGGTTTCTTATTTCTTAATTGATTTACCAGCACAAGGACTTCTACAGACATGAACTATTGGGAGGGCAGGGGAAAGGCACTGTAAGTTCTCTGAATGAGAGCAGAAAGAGCTGTGAAAGGCAAGAGGAGGTGTAACAAGAGCAAGGTTTTGCCACACACACACAAAACCCCAAAAGACTCCAATTCAGATGTATTCCAAGAGGAAACTCTGCTGCCAGGGACCCTGCCTTTCCCTGCCCCTTCCAAGAACACATCTGAGTCCTGCTAATCAAAGCACAAAGACAACTAGTAAAATTTTAAGCTTTCATTTGTTATACTGCTGCATGAATTATTAGCAACAAATACTTTGATTCATCCAATAAATAAAAAAACAAACTTCAGAAATAATAAGGTTGAGAAATGAATTACTATAACATTTATTAGTGTCATTATTGCATAGCATCCTGATTTAAGACCTAATGTTAACTGGACACTTACTAAATCATTTACAGCAAGCATTTTTATGAATATACTCATTTAATCCTCACAAAACCCTAGGAGGTAGGCACTGTTTTATTATTATTATTATTATCCCCACTCTATAGACAAAAACACTGAGGTTTAGCAAGGTCAAACAGGATAATTAGATGAATAACAACTTTGGGAAACAATCTGGCAGTTCCACAAAAGGTTACACAGACAGTTACTATATGATACAGTAGTTCCACTCCCAGTTAAATGCCTACAAGAATTAAAAACATATGTGAAGCTGGGAGAAAGGAAGGAAGAAAAGAAACATATATGTAAACATACAAAAATGTGTATACAGATGTTCATGGCAACAATATTCTTAAGAGCCAAAAGGTGGAAACAACCCAAATGTCCACTGAAGGATAAATGAATGCTATGCATATGAATGGTTAACTAAGATGGGTAAGATTGAATATTCCTCAGATATTAAAAAGGGCTGGGGATGTAGCTCAGTGGTAGAGTCTACATAGCATAGAGTTTAATTCCCAGCACCACAAGAAAAAAAAAAAAAGGAATGAAGTTCTGATCCATACTATAATATGGCTGAACCTTGAAAACATCATACAAAGTGAAAGTAGACAGACACAAAAGGCATATATCATGGAATTCGATAGTGGTAATGGTGTGCAACTCTGAGAACACACTAATACTGTACTCAACTGCATACACTTCACAAGGGTGAATTTTATGATATATGATTCTATCTCAAAAAAGTGATTTAAAAAAGAGGGGTGAGCCCACAGCCTATAATCCCAGCTACTTGGGAGGCTGAGATCAAGAGGATCAAGGTTCAAGCCCAACCCTGGCAAACAGTTTGTGAAATCCTCATCTCCAAAATAACCAAAGCAAAATGGACTGAAGGTATGGCTAAAGCGGTAGAGAGCCTGCTTTGCAAGCATGAAACCCTGTGTTCAAACCTCAGTCCCAGAAAAAAAAAAAAAAAAAGGAGGTGAAGTAGCAGCTCCTGGTCCCACAGCACTAAGGTCTGATCTGGACTGGCTCCACCCACAGCCTGCATCTCACTACTGTACCATGCTGCTTGTACTCCAAGGGCTGTGGCTTCTCATATTATTCTCTCACTTCTTCAGATTTCTGCTATATTCAATAATATAAAGAGAAGATAAGAAATTAGAATAAGAAACCTGATGTTGAGAAGGTCTGATGTTGGCAAAAGGTAGGGCTAATTAGCAGAAGAAACACAAAATGTATAAATACTGCTTCTTATCTGCACAGGACAGGCAAGGAGCCAGCATTCAAAGTTGTTACACATATTAACACCTGTTGATGACTAAAGGGCTGTGAATTAAGAGCTAGGTCCCTGGTCACTCTGCTGACTGTTTTACCATCAATACTAACACTATCAATGTAATATGTACCAGTGGTTATCTAATAGGAAGAACTTTGGGGGACAGAAAAATATTAAATAACATTAATAAGGAATTAAGACTTTATTCATATCAAAATTGGCCTGACATCAAGTAAGAAGGTCAGAATAAAAAGACCACATCTAGAAGTAGGTCAATAGCAGAGCCATCTGCTCTTTAAAAAAAAAAAATCTGAACACTACCTTACAAGTAACCGGGAAGCCAATTCTCCTTTGAAAAAAAAAATCATACTATTAAACTGATGGCAAGGGAACAGAAAGAATAAAAGCATTTGGCCCACAAAGAAACAAACAAGGAAAACTTTGCACAGGCAACAAAGAGATGATAACATTCTGGGAAGACAATCAGTCATAAATCTTTACATCACAGCCAAATCATTACATATTATCTGAGAAGAAGAGAGAAAAAGGAGGGAAAGGGGCCCAAGGAGAGGGAAGGAGGGGAGCTACTTGCTAAATATAAAAATCAAGCCTTTATCAGCAGGTCATAATATTCAAAACTCTCATCTAAATATAAAATGTAAGACTTTACCTGAATATGCACAATCTCAAAAACAGAATAGACACAGACAAGGATCCTCATGGCTGCCAAAACCATGGTGGGTGAGTGTGTGTGGGGGTGACTGGCAGTTGTTGGAAAGAGGATGTTCATCTGGTCTCAAAAAAGTACCTCACATACTTCTTATTATTTAGAAAGGGGAAAAGATACATTTTAGTGGATAAATTTGGCAGACAACACCTTAATCAAGTGATCAAACATCCCTAGTCATGGGACAAACTGACCATATGCACCTTCAGATTTGAAATGCTGAAAAGAAACACAAAAAACTAAAAACTAAATTATAAAGAAACATGAGAGTTGGGGGAGTGGCTCAAGTGGGAGAGAGCCTGCTTAGCAAGAACACAGCCCTGAGTTCACACTCTGGTCCTGTGGAAGGAAAGAAGGGAGGGAGGGAGGAAGGGAGGAAGGAAGGAAGGAAGGAAGAAGAAATAATCGACAGTAAGATACATTCAAATTGTGAGACTCTCAGGAAAGACCAAAAGAAAAAAAGTAAAAGCAGTACTGTTCTAGAAAAAAAGGAGACTACAGAGACATGACCATCAAGAGCATAATTAAAAGCAAAACATGGCTTTTATTTAAATACAGTCTGTAAATTAGATATTATTAAGTATCAATGTTAAATTTCTTGAGGGTGACAATGGCACTGAGAAAATGTCCTTGTTCTTAGTAGCACACACTTATTTAATGGTAAAAGGTCTGCAAGTTACCTTCAGAGGAGGAGGGAAGAGTGTGGTGGGAGGGAGTGACAAAGCAAACATGACAACTGCTCACAGTTGGTCAATCCAGGTAAAGTCTATCTCAGTGTCTGATGTTTTATTCTTTCAATTTCTAGAATAGTAATTTTTTTCAACATCAAAATTCAGGACAAAAATTCCAAAAGAGAAAAAGGAAGCAGTGAGGATGGAGATTTGACTCTCGTCTTTGAAACTGTCCTAGCAGTACATAAAACTTTGGACTGCTCAGACTTGGTGTTGTAGCTAGCTGGATGCCAGCATCCCTGTGTGTGTGTTACCATCTTCGTTTCAAATCCACCCAGAAACCTGAACAACCCATTAGGAAAGAAGTTACAGCAGTACTGTTTTCTAGATGACTAAAAATATTTGCTGGAGTTCACAAATAATGTCCATTCACATTACTGACAAATAAACAGGTTCCCAATAGTTTCTTCATTAAAGCTCACAGCCTCCCTCTTACCTACCATTGATAATTATGGATTAAGTTTCCACTTAGCAAAATTTACTTTGGAGAGTAGCTGGCACAAGGTCAACTCCCAGGGATAACCACTAATTAGATAGTGCAATATACAAGAGGGAGAAAGTGGAGATAACCTAAATGTCCAAAATAGGGGAATGGTGAAACTGTAAAATTAATCTGATAGAATAATGTGCAACATTTAAATGACATGATGTATCATGTAGACACATCTTAAAGCACTATACAAGAATGTTAAGTGAAAAAGTATATATAATGTGTATGATAGACACAATACCAGAGAAGGGTCAAAGTGAAGTGCAAGCACCTCTTACATTTAGGTGAAGGAGTTTTGCTACATTTTTTTTTTGGGGTAAAGTTCTTTGATTTATTAAATTTTATTTAAAATGTAAAACTTGAGGGCTGGAGCTGGAGCTCAGTGATAGTGTGTGTGCTTAGCATAAAAATGTAAACTTTGGAAAATAAAATTAGCAATGATGGGCAATTAGTACTAGACTATTCTACAGGAACCAACTTAAAGGGACATGCAAAGATATAAGAAGAAATATTTTCCAATATGACAGTATATAGGTTATGATACTGTCTTAAAAACTAGGTAGCTGATTTAAATAAGACATGAGATATTAAAAATTCAGAATTATGAAGTATTTTGAAAAGAAATGCAATTATAGCAGTTTCAAATGCATACCAACTTAATGTGCTTTTAAGTCATGGCTCAAGACTATTAATGGCTAAGGTTAATTTGTAATTTTGACATGTATTATATATGTGTGTTCTCTTTTCATCTTTGATAGACTAAACAAACTTGAACCAACCGTAAATAGAATGAAATACACAGAAAACCATTCATAACAAAAAAAGAATTCCTTTAAAAAAATATGCTTCCCACACCCAGAATCAAACATCTGGACACAGTTGCCTGCACAATGTCCCTTGGTAGGGACTCTAGACAGCTGTACAGACAAGCTGGGATCACAGAAAGCCTCAGCTGTTGGTTCTTCACTTAGTCCCTACTCAAAGGCCAATAGAACGGAAGAAAATCTGCCTGTTTTGTTGGTAACAACTTATTTTATACTATGAACCTGCACCTAAGTGATGTTTGTACTCCCTTGGATTCTTCACTATTATAGGAAGGTTGGACAGAAAGACCAGTTTCCATAGCACTATCAGGCACTTTTGCTAAGGAAGCCTTGAGAAGATTTCCCTACATTTTTTATGTACATCAGCACAAACTTTCACCAATCTCTGCCATCAACAGTAAATGTAGGGAAGAGACCAATAACACAACAGAAAAGCACACCTATCTGCTGAGTCCAAACTAAATGCAGAAATGGCATTTTGTTTCCTTTTTCAAGTAGCTGTGTTCAGTGCATCTACCCTGAATTACTGTCTTCATTTTTGCTTAGGGACAATGTATATAAGTACTATATGGGGACATAAGGGTTTGCAAATAACAAAATGAAAAGTGAGTCTGAATATGCTTTGGTTAAAATAACAGAAGACTAAAATCTCCTCTTTTGAGAGAGAAATGCCTCATCAGATAATTTCTTTGCTTATTTTGTGATATTTCACTTATGAAGCCTGACTACCGCATTCTGAAGATAGTGTGTGGGGCATAACACTACCTAGAGTTAAGTAACATAAGTCCTGAGAAAAGGTGGACCTAACAATGAGCCAATGTTAAGCTAATAGCTAATTCTAGGGATGGGGGTGTGGCTCAAGTAGTAGAGCCCTTGCCTAGCATGCTTGAGGCCCTGGGTTCAATTCCCAATACCACAGGGAGGGAGGAGAGGAGAAGCTTATTCTAATTCTGAGAAGAAATGGCATCTGAGTAAGAACTAATGTCTTAGAAAAATCAAAATGCTTGTTCTGTCAGAAAAGAAAGGTTACCCAGGCATGAGAAACAATTAAACACCACTATCAGGGCATTTAAAGTTAAGATGAATTAATATTACACACAAAGTAGTTGCCCACATTATACATCATTAACACTGAGAGTTTACAATTAAATGGAATCACTTTTGCTAAAACAGATTTTTCTCTCCCTATACATCTACCAGGATGTCTAAAGACACCTTAGGACCATGTGCTCCTATAGCACACAACAGATGCACCAAAAGGTTCCCACCTCTTAACGAACAGCTTGTGCCTTCGTTAGTAGCCAGCGTAGAGGCAGAACCTTCTGTGTACATGCTCTTTCACAGGCTGCGCTGTTACAGGAAGAAGCAAAGAGCAGCGATTTCCTTCCAAAAGGTCAGCTGCCTCAGACAGACCAAACAGAAAGCAGTAAATTCTTGCCAACTTCCCCTCCTGCCTCTGCAGCGAGTACGCAACAGCATTTGGTTTCCAGTAAAGCTCCAAAGAAAAACAAAGCAAATGTGAGACCCAGAACCTATGTGATCTAAGTGAAAGGCAGTAAGATAATATGTGCTACGCTTTTTAAACAGCAGTGGAACTGTTAAGGACTGTCAGGTTAAATGTGAGATTAAACATGAGGAAAAGGACAGGACCAGAGCCATGCTACATTTTATACTAATGTTCTAGAAGTCTCTATCTAAAAATAAGATGGTATTTTGATTATAACAAATGTTTGACTGATGTACAATTAAATTTTCAGCCTTTCCTCTTCTCAAAATTAAAGTCAAAACAGCCGTCCAATATGCTACAGCATTGGCAGTGTTCAAGACTGACAGCCATCAAAGCCATGTACAATAAATATATCGTTTCTTAGGCTAAACATGGAAAAAAACACTGTGAAATAACCAAAAGAATAGGATTTTAAATCCTCTTTGGGTAGTAATCCCAAATAATTATGAATAATTCCACTCCCACTCAAAAAAAAAAAACAACACTGTATTCTTATACAGACTTCCTTAAATTAAGACAGCATCAAATTGCAGGAAAAACTACATTCAATTTTCCTAGAGACAACAGAATCAGATCCTTTGGGGTAAAAAAGTGAAGAAGAAAGAAGGGAAAATGAAGATTTTGAGTTTTCTCAAACAGATTAGTTTCTGTCTTAACTGTCTATGTACAATTTGCAAGAAAATGTGATGAGTCTCTCCAGCAAGCTCCCACAGCATGCCATAGAGCTCTGTGTGGTTTCTAACTTGTCACTTTCAGGTTGTGGTAGCAACAAAGACCCAGGTTTTTTGTGAGACAAGCTTTTGTTCTAAAGAGTCTGGTCTTTGATGATGGAGAACGTTTAACCCCAGTCTGAGAACACTCAGTTTGAAATGAAAACAGTTTGGGGTTCAAGGAAAAATTCTTGAGTTTGTTACTTAGGCCAAATTAAGCTACACACTGAAAACTATTTCATGTTGGACACAAATTACACTACTTCATTCCCAAGCATTTCCTATGCTTAACTGCCAGACCTTAAAAACAGTAGCAACAGGATTCCTTCATAGGGAAAAGAGAAGGAAACTACTAGCACCAGTAGGAATAGTTGACAGAGTCACAGCAGTGGTAATAAGTATTGAAGGCGTGCTTGTCACAGGCCATGCACCGTTGGGTGCACTTTATATGCATCCTTCCTGAAGCCTCACAAGGCATAGGTGAGGAAACAGACTCAAGAGTTATGAAATGTTCTCAAAGTCCCATAGCAAGTAGGTGAAGGAGCTGGGATTCACCCTAGAAAGAGCTACCTGTGGAGTATCTGCGTCAGTCACACAGATTAATTTATTAAAAATCCTCACCTAGCCAAATGAGTTCTTCCTAAAGACTACTTTATAATAAAAGCTACAAAGTGAATTATCACAAAGTGCAACTTCCAAACAGATACAAAAGCTTATTTGACAATCCAAAAAAAAAAAAAAAAAAAAAGACTTTAAATGAGATTCCTTTCCAAAAGGATTTGAGAACACCTCGGTGACAAGCCTTCAAACACAAAGAAAGCCATGGTAAGGGTTTGGTGGGTTACCTTCATTCTTCTAAATCAATCAGAAATGGGTTAAAAGCTTTAGATTGTAAAAGGATGTGGGAGGAGAATAACCAGAACCATCCTGGGGGTGGGTAGTTTTCCAATAAGGCCAAAAACCTAAATCCTGACCACTTGTGATCAGAAAGAGCAACATGACCCTTCCTAAAAATAAACGCACCAGGTTGGTGGTGACACTCACGTGAAGTTCTCTCGTATCCATACTCCTCCACGAGCCAGAGTAGGATTTGGGTTTCCATTAGTGACACTGCTATCTATCACACGCTACTCAGCGGGCACGTCAAGCCGCGCGCTAGAGCCAGACTCACCAGTGTGGCGAGTGGAGTGAGCCGCAGAGGAGAGTGGGTGTGTCGGGAGTGAAGTCGGAGCAGACCTCCAGTGGCGCGAGCCTCAACCAGGACGCACGGAGGTGGTGGTGGTGCGGATAGGATGTTCGACGATGTGGAAGAGGTTCATGATACGACGAGGCGGAGTAGTCCAGGGTAGCGGATGGCCGGGAGGTGGTGATTGCGCGCGAGAGGTCGTGTGGTGAGCTGAGTGTGCATGCGGACTCATCCACGCCATCTTGGCGACCACGCGGCGAGAGATGTGGAAGACAGTCGAACCTTGCCGTGAATGCTGATGGGGCACGTAGATAGCACTGGGGCGCGGAGGGAGAAGAGCTGCTAAGGAGGTAATTAGAATTGGCTGTGGGTAACTGATCAAGTCTATGATGTTGAATATG